TGAATGTTAGATGAGATATAAATGAACTGTCATCTATGAACGAATAACTGAAACTATCGAAAAATTACCCCTCGGGAAGGCAGATGGCGACATTTCTCCACAGGTCTCTCGGATATTCATTATACTTGACAGATAGTTTGAAATATATTCGAACAAATAATACAATGTTACAAAATAAGGTTTCAAAGTGTGTGTTTTCATAGATGATCGGGGCCTAAAGTTTTTGTGTAGGTTTTTTGGGACTGCCAAACGCCTGTACACAACAGTGCACACTGGGATTCGACGATTGAAAGGTATGCACAACATTCTAACTTTTTTATTTTCAATTCGAAAGGAATCCAATTATTTAAGCGTTTTTTCAAAAAATGGCTAAGAGGAGAATGTCTCATGACGAATTGTTTGAGCTGATTCATCAAGACCTGTCGGATATTGACATTTTGAGTGACGAAGACGATGGATGGGAATCAGATTCTGGTATTTCTACGTGATTTTCAATGTTCTTTCTAGTGCTAATTATGAAATTATAGATGTAATCGCGCCTCTTCGAGGTGACGATGTGGAAGATATTTTCCTGGAAGAAGAAAACATCGAGGAACAGAGACCTGATGTCCTTGAAAGTGAATATGTTTCACAAAGTAAAACAAATGTCGGCGACAAAGAATATCCTTTGAGTGTATCTGCTCGAATAAAAAATTTCTGCGAAAATAATGAATTGACGCTCAGAAAAGACATCTGTTGGCGAAAAATGTGAGATATATTACCCCAAACATCACTTGACACAGGCCAAAAAATGATGAAGTGACTGATCTTGAAAGTCCTTTGTATTTCTTTCGGCAGTATTTTACTCCTGAGCTTATCGCTTCCATGATTGAGCATACAAATCTATACGTTGTACAGAAATTTATGAAATGCCCACTAACAACTATAGATGAAATGGAGACACTCATCGGAATACAAATAGATTACGTGTGCCCATGATCGCCGATGCAATGCCTCGCGATCGATTTCACTGACTGCGAACAGCCTTGCATTTCGTGAATGTACTAGAAAGGAGCCCAAATTGCACGGACAGAATGTGGAAAGTACGGCCATTATATAACACCCTACGTGAACGAATGACCACCCTTCAATTGGAATTGGAGCTGAGCATCGACGAGCAAATGATTCCCTTCAAAGGGAGGCTAAATGTGAAGCAGTATATAAAGGGAAAACCTTGTCCATGGGGTATCAAACTGTTCGCTTTGTGTGGGTCGAGTGTCCTGATGTATGATTTTCTCATATACCAAGGGAGTACAACTGAGCTGACTATTGAGCAGCAAGAAGTTTTTGGACTTGGAGCTTCAGTTGTACTCAAACTTTCTGAAAGGATCGAGGGAGTCAACATACAACTTTACTTTGACAACTATTTTTCTAATTATAATTTACTACAGTATTTGAGAAATTCATACATTTACGCTTCTGGTACCGCACGGGTGGACCGTTTTGGTAGACCTCCCTTCTCCTCAGACACTGTAATGAAAAGTAAAGGTCGTGGATATGCGGAAGAACTCATCAGTAACGATGGCCAAGTGGTGCTCACCCATGGAATCGATATAGCATGCACAAATGGTTGGATCGAGTACCGGCAGAAGGCTGAGGATTGTTGCATTTTCGTGTATATGTTGCTGAGGGCCTGATTGGTGGGACCAGGGCTGAGTCGACACCGAGATCACGAGGACGGCCTTCAAGAGATTCGCCAACAATTTCACCGATGGTAAGGATCAGAAACCGAAAAGAAATGAAGACAGTAGACGAAGTTAGACTCGATGGAATAAAGCACTATCCGGAATTTGACAATAAGAATTTTGCAAGTAGGTGCAAAATGCTGATTTGTAAATCTCGAACACACATTTTTTTGCCAAAAATGTCAAGTCCATTTGTGCACAGCAAAAAAACAGAATTGTTTCACATTATACTATACAACAAAATGAATAAAAATTACCTCTAGAAATGAATTGCTTTTTTTTCTATTGGTAGCAATATTACCATTGAGACCGAGTGTGCACTCTAGTGCACATGTCAGAAGTCGAAATCGACCATAGATATGACATTATGATGGGTAGCAAAATTCTTTAAAGAAATCATAAATAACGTATACTGTGTTTCAATTTTTTTGGTAGACTAAAAAAAACTCGAGTCTGAAAGGGGGAGCATCATGACTATTCGCAGTTTGTCAGTCATGTAACGTTGCAGAATCATCTCATTTCTTGAAAACTGTGACTGTTAGCAAGCATAGTCTGCATTTTTCTGTATTTTGAAAGCATATCTACATGTAGCACAAGTATAATAGTATTACCTATACTAGCATTATACAAGGCGAGTCAACAAGATTCCCTCGGTCCATTGCTATCAGGAAAAATAATTTTTCGAATTGCTCAATTTTTTTTCGCAGTCATATCGATAAATACTATCTTCTAAAATTATTTTCTCGCACACTGGGTAATTCAGCCGAGCATGGCCAACCAAAGTTATATATTTTTTAATGGAGCATCCAGCATATGAATACGTTATTCGATTACATATTTTTTTAGCTCCCTAATTTCTATTGCGGCATTGCCGTTATTTCAGAAAAACCTATTTTGATACAGCAATTAAGTGGATATTTTTTAGGAATAGTTAGTCAACATCACTTTGATAATTTCTGAAATTTCAACTTTTGGAAACAATATACAAGGTGCTCGGTAAAACCGAGCGAAAACATTTTCAAACAGACATAATTCAACTTTTTCAAATGGAACATCCTGTATTTTTGTATGAAATGTTTCAACATTTTTATCAGAGTTATACTATAGAAAAATTTGATAATTTAGAAATTATACCAAGTTTTAGTAATTGTTGTAACGACAAAACAATCTATTTTCTTACGGTCACTTACTCGAATTTGTTTTTTGAATATTCAAACTAATCGCTACTACATTAGCATTTTTCATACCATCTAGTGATAGTTATCAGCGGTTTTAACTGTGAGAAATGCGTAAAAAACCTAAAGAATATTTATACTGTTTTTTTTTCTTTAAAAACCCAGTTATCCATGACTGACATAAAAAAATGAATCTCGGGATTCGTCAATAACGTCATGTGTTGAGGTTTTTTTCGCGTGTAGATTGAATCATTTTCATTATGAATTATGTATTGGAAGATATGGTGCAAATTAATGGTCTATGCTTTGGGAGAAACTGACAGAAACTGTCTCCTTGCATCTAGGATTTGCAAAGAGAAGTTCCTCGAAAGAAGACAACCAGATGAAAGGGCATTTCACACTCTAAAAACAAAATTTGTAAGGACTGATATTGTCAATCACGAGAAGATCGAACGTGTTTGCCCTGTAACAAATGAAGAGAATGCATTTCAAATTGCTCTTCACCTTGTTGAAAATCCTCATGTGAGTACCTGAGACCTGAGCAGGGAATTAGGATTTTCTCAAACCAGCGTGTCTCGAATGATACGAGCAAGCAAATTTCATCCTTACCACATGCAATTAATGCAAGAGTTAAGAGGAAGAGATTTTGAAAAACGTGTTCAATTTTGCCGATGGGGCATAGAAAAGATCAATCAGCAAAATGACTTTTTCGATTTCGTGTTATTTTCTGATGAAGGGATTTTTCATAAAAATGGAACTGTATAAGGCGTTATTATGCAACGGAAAACCCCCATTTTGTTCGTTGCCTGAACCATCAACAGTGTTGGTCACTGAATGTTTGGGGTGGAATTCTCGGAACAAGAGTTATCGGTTCGTATTTTTTGGATGGACATTGCACTGGAAGAAAATATGTAAGATTGTTTCGGCATTAGTTTCCAAATTTATTGGATGGAGTTCCATATTGAACAATAGGTACTTAGAATGTGGCTACAAGACGGTGCACCACCACATTCTAAAACAAACAAATTGTTTATTGAGGTATATCAAATGGATTGTCTACCAAACTCCTCCAACAGTTATAGAAGACATGAAACGAAGAATCACTAAAGCTTTGAGGGAAATCACAGAGGATATGCTGGAACGTGTAGAGATTTCTTTAAAAAAAGACTAACATTATGTGTTGCCAAAAATGGTCGCCATTTTGGAATCCTCGATTCAATAAAAAATTTAGGCGTTATTGTTCACATTGAAAAAATTTTGAGTAAGAGAACGTAAATAAATGATTTTTTTGTGGGTACAACAATTATTTAAACTGGGTATAATTTGTAAAATATCTGTTTTTCGTATAGTATACCTCCGATAACTCGACCAGTTTTACCGAGCACCCTATATATTTTTTCCGAAAGTTGAGATTTCCGAAATTATCATACTGATGTTGACTAACTATTCCTAAAAAATATCCACTTAATTGCTGTAGACATGCAGGTGGTGAATTAAAAAAATATTGTCTGCAAAATAGGGTTTTCTGGAATAACTTGGCAATGCCGCAATAGAAATTCAAAAACAAAAATTTCTTAAAGAGCTTAAAAAAATATGTAATCGAATGACGGATTCATATACTGGATGTTCCATTTAAAAATATATAACTTTGGTTGGCCACGCTCGGCTGAATCACCCAGTATGTGAGAAAATGATTTCGAAAGAAAGTATTTATCAATATGACTGCGAAAAAAAATTGAGCAATTCGAAAAATTGTTTTGCCTGATAGCAATGGACCGAGGGAAGCTTGTTGACTCACCCTGTTGTTACGGTTTCAAAATCACTACCTCAATTTTTAGTAAACCCCCAGTAGATTTTATAATGGAGAAAGGAAAAGTCTATAAAATTCCACATAGTTCATAGTTTACTTAAAATATAGCAATTCATTTCGTATTACGATTTATTATGACCCTGTATATTCCAGGAATATATGAAACGAGTCTTCGTATCATTGCTGGAATCGGCAGATTCACAAAGTTTATTTATAAGATATCGTTTTTTTCTACAAATAATTCATGTATTTTATGACAGTTCATGTCATTTCGACATTTGGAAACTTCAGAAAAAAAAACGTCTCTTCCTTCTTTACTTGGTTTTGACCAGAAACGGGAAGAACATCGCAATTTTGCAGATTTGAAAGAGGGTTTCAAAGTATTACTGACTCGACAATTGATTTATCTCAAGGGAGATAATCAATTATCTACTGTCGTAGGATTTATGTAGGAATTACTCGAAACTCTCAAATTGAAGTTTACCTTGTCGAAGAACTCCGACATCTCAAAAGGCCATACTCTATCTCAGGTATGAACAAACATTTTGTGTTTTATTGATACGACCTTTTTGCTTGCAAGAAATTATGTTCAGACATGTACCTATACAATTTTTAGGCCTTCATTTTCCATTTGCTTGTTCGTTGCTAACTGATAACGCCCTTAAAATCTCCCCAACTTTGAGAAAAGCGGTTGGCGAATCTCCACTTTTTGTACACCTAGATGACTCACCACTGTTAGTAGCGACATAAGAGCGGATGATCGTAAACCTCATGTCTCAAAGAAGGTAATATTGTTCCTTTTTATCGTTCATTTTGGTCTGAACGGGACGCATTAGCATCAAAGGAATAGCACTATCAAAACTGTCAGCGCTACTGCGAAACCCACTTCATCTAGCTATAAAGTACCTACTTTTACTTATTATAGTTTCGATTATATTAGTTTAGTGTGTTGTAACTGAAATTTTAAAACCTTCGCTACCTTTAAACAACTGTAAACCGATGGAATGCATACTAGAGGGTAGATAATTCATCAGTTGAATTAGACAACTAGGAAATCATTGTGGCAAAATCCTTTCTTTTGATATCATTTATTTTTCCTTGTGAATAAATCAAATTTTGTAGATCGGTCACGGAAGTTAGAACTGACAATCTTCGTTACAATTTTTCTTTACCTTCTATTATTGTTAAAAAAAAACAAACTGTCTTTCTTTATATTTGCCGACGCTCTTCTTTCCCATAACTTGCATGAATAAAAGATTCTAAAATTAATTTACTCCTTTCTTCTTTCTTTATACCTACTCCCGTCTCCACTGTTGAAAAGCTGGTGGGGCATTTGAGGAGGTAATACTGTACTTGTGCATGTACGTTTATTGAGTTATATTTTCTAGTATGTATTAGTTATTGGAACTCTAGAGGTATTGTTTCTTTGGTCAGCAAAATATATTGAAAAATCGCAAGAACAAACTACCCTGCAAAAGGGATAAATCCAACTTTTCTCCTTGGTGACAATAATAACATTAAAAAAAGAGATGAAACATGAAGTTTGATTTAAATATCCCGAGGGGAAGGCCTTGGCCAGCAAAATATTTTGAAAAATCACAAGAGTGAACTTCCCTTGGAAAGGGGTAGATCCAACTTTTTTTCAACGACGGCGATTATGGCATAAAATTTAAAGTTTGATCGAAATATTTCGATGAGACAAGAATAGACAAACTACCCTTCGAAATTACGAGTACATGAAAAGGCAGATAAAATATAAGGGTTGATTTCAATCCTATTAACGGTGGCATCAATATCAAGTGAAATTCATGTATATTTTTTAATATACACATGATATACAGATTATGAATGTCTTATTTGGCGATACTTTTCTGGTCAGCAAATTATATACAGTCTTGGAATATTTTATTTCGTAAGGTAACCTTAGGACTGTCAAAGCAGTTTTTCTTCCAGTTTAATTCAAGAAGGAGGCACATTATGATAATTACTAATATCAGGTATTATATCTTGTTGTGTAATAACTTTAGAGGAATCATTATAAACATTCTCATAGCATACGCCCAGCCGCGTTTGTTTGGAATGCGGAGAATTCTGGCAAGAGATGCGTGCAACTACCATTCCCATTCTCAACGGCAGTGAGACCCATCACGTACAAGGTGGTCCACTTGAGATTGTTATTAAGATTCGTTCATCAAAGCAATCAGTCCGCGGTGCGTGCAGACAATCATTGTTGATTATTGCAAAGATACCAGAAATGAATCAGGAATGTTAGTTTTTCCAAGATGGACCAGAATAACATCCACAAAGAACAAACAGGTACGGCTTGGCAAATCTAGCTGTGTCTGAGATGCGCGAACGATAAAGAAAGATGGTAACTGTGCTATACCAACTTTTATCAGAAAGACCAATCAAGAAGAGAATTTTGGCTTAAGTAAATTCGGCAAGTGTTGTTTAATCTATCCAGAAATGAGAGAGACTACAGCAGTATATCTATATATATATTTTAGTGCCTTAGGCGTACTGCATTCAAATTATCTACTCTCAACGAATTGAATATATGAATATCATTCATAACAAATAAAATAACAAATCTACTATGACAAATGTTAAAATATGTCCAGTAGTAACCAAGGCGATATAGATATTCCTTTGAAGTATACTGTCAACAGACACATCGCACCCATCAATAAGACCGACTTGGCTTTTCGGGGTTATTCATGACATTCTTCAGTTTACTTCGAGAGCTCGTTGAATAAACAGCTATACAACATGAAAGCTAGTTGTTCGGAAATAGTGAAGCGTCCGAAATTGTCACCATTAAATATAAATGAAAAAACAGTTGTTATGAATGTATATAATTCTTTAAGAATACTATATCTGCCCGAAATAAAAAGTAAGGAGGAAGTAGTGCAAAAAAGCGCGAGTATGACCAGTGTCAATAGATCGACAATTTTTAGAATTCTCAAGGAACTCAAGGAAAACAACAACTTTTTCGAGCCGAAAGTATCCACTGGTAGAAACTGTTTGGTTATCGTTGAAGAAGTGAAGAATTCTATTAGGGGAACAGTACACTCTTTTTAAATAAAAAACGAAATGTCACGAAATAACAATAAATAAAGTTTTGTCAGTTATTCGTGAAGACAGAACTCGATTATGGAAGATATTACATGAGCTGAATTTCACTTTTGGAAAGCAAGGTAGAAAGAGCATGTTAATAGAAAAATCAGAGATTGTAGAATGAAGAAGAAACTATTTAAGAGAGACAAAGGAAGCCAGAGCACTAGGTAAATCTATTTTTTATTTGGATGAAACATTGGTCAATGAGGGTCATACCGTCTCGAAGATTTGGCAAGATCAGAACATCAAAAGTGGAAGACAAGCCTTTATGGAAGGTTGGTCCACTGATTTGAAAATTCCAGTTGAAAAAAGTCGTCGTCTTATCATGACTCACATAGGCAGCAGTGAATGATTCTTGAAAGATGGATTGATGGTGTTTGAATCGAAGAAAAATGGAGATTATCATCAAGAAATGGATGCCATAGTATTCGAAGAATGGTTTAAAAACATACTTGTTAAACTTCCGCAGAAATCCGTAATAGTAATGGATAACGCAAGTTACGACAGTAGACGAGTCGAGAAGCTGCCGACGTCGTGTTGGAAGAAAGCAGATATTACTGAGTGGTTACAAAGCTATTCCTTTTGAATCGACCATGTTAAAAGCGGAGCTCCTCAACGTGGCTAAACGTCATAAGTCAAAATTCGTCAGGTTAGTCACCGATGAGATGGCGAAAACTAAAGGAATGTCAGTTCCTCGGTTGCCGCCTTATCTCTGTGAATCAAGTTAAAGGATTCATCGCAAGGAATAATAAGACCTTCAAGCTGTGTGAAGTAAAGAAATACCTATATAGTGCTCTGATAACAGTCGATCAAGAAGCTTGGGAAAAATGTATCCACAAAACAATCAGAATCGAAGCAGAGATGTGGGATCTGGATGATCGCATACTTCAGAAAAAATTATTCCAATTGTCATCAATCCTAAGGAAAACTGATTCATCCAGTGAAGAATCACTCAACGAATACCTGTAGACTTTTTTCAGATTAAAATTATCGCAATGTCTTATTCGAAGTAAGTATTCCCATTAAATCTATAAAATTGTTTCTGAATCAACTATAAAATCCAATAAGGAATATGAATCTTCATTTCAAAAGCAATAAGAATATATAAAGTATATCTCTCAGTGCAGCCACACTTTTCTACTTCCTGAAAATGTCAAAGTCGAAGCCGAAACGTCGAACAACTCAAAATTTGGAATGCGGTTCAACTCGAAATCAGATGTTCAAATTTCTAACCACGGAAACCTATTCTATTTGTATACTTATCTGGTGATGTTTCGAATACTTTATCCATCTTCATTATCATACCGACGATCAATTTGATATTATCAGTGTCAGTATCGGTAATAATAATAATATCAAATTTATTTACATCAAGAGACGAATCATAACTACAAATGATAATGTTTTGATTTAAATAGGTTGGATAAAGAAAATGGATAGAGTCTTTAAAACGTCACCAGATGATACATATTTCTTTTAATAATAATAATAATAATAATTCAATGATAATAACCTTGATACATGAAAATTGTGCCAAACATCTTTATAAATACAATCTGACATATACATCATCATATACAAAGTATATGAACATATGTGAAAAAAAGAAAATAACACTTGATTAAATAACTTTAAAATATGTGTTTAATAGCAATATATGAATTAAATAAAATTATTCAGAAATGTAGTTGATGAAATGTATATCATGATTTATTGAAATTCATTATATCATTATCCATTCTTTAGTTTTATTTTTATATGAAAAAACAAATTTGGAATTTTTTATATAATGAGACAGCTTATCAAATATATAAAGAATTATATACATGTAATTTTTTTGTTTTCTTCACTCAATTTTTTGAAGAATATGTTAATTAATTTCTTGTATCATAATCATGATTATTATATTGAACCTTTGATTTATTTTTATACACATAAATGATTGTGAATCATGATAGGTAGATAATCTATAAAACATTATCCATGATAATAATTTAAACAATTTTCACCAAATTTTTTTCAATCATCGGTTTAGCTATGGTGTTAGCGAAACGCGTCAAGAGTTAAAAAAAAGTTTGTGAAAATGGTTTAAATATTATCATGGATAGTGTTATTAACGGGTCAGTCCCTTTCATGCAATATTGCATCTATGTAAATTGTATCTATATAAATAGATACAATTCATATAATATTTTGGAATATTGGTTGCCTAAAGATTATAATATGATTTTTCGCCTACTGTTGATACATGGTTTTCGTCAGGAAGTGTTACGATTCCGGATGGATTACCATCTTCATCTTCTGAAGCGTCATCCTCATATTCCTGTTCCGATGCAGTGTCGCTATCCTCATCATATTAATTGATAATGAAAGCATCCACATTGATGTCTTTATTGGGTTCATTTGACATGAAATCGTATTCAAATTTTCTTGCTCGTTCACAACGAGATTTCCATTGCTCGCTCGGAAGAAAACTGTTCACAAAAATCGTCGCAATATTGCATGATATCGTAGTATTCGAAAGTAACATTTTTATTTGCCACCTTATCATTCAGTCCATCCGAAACTAACTCAACTGGATTCAAGTCTGGGTGATATGGCGGTAATCGTTCAACGTTGTGATTTGGCGCTAGGAAGAACTGATCTTTTAAATCTATTTGAAAATGTCACTGACATTTTGTCGATTTGTTCATTATGATATGGTGCGTTATCGATCACCACGAATCTTATCGACGACAAATTCGAAATCAATTGTTCCGACACCCATTTATTATAGTTATCAAAATGTACCTTGTTGTGGTGATCACCTGTATTACAATTTGTAATACAGGTGATCACCACAACACAATTTGTAATACAGGTGTTGTATTACAACCTTCCGTGGTATGATAACTCCAACCTTTTTGGTGGGTGTGTGTAGCGTGACTGTTTCAGCCATATAAATGATAGGTCGACATTGTTCTCTATAGGTCCGCATTTTCTTCTAGAATTATATCCTAAGTAGTAAAATAGGCTGGCGTTCCATCTGTCATTTTTCACCTTTTTCACCTTTCTTAATCGAAATCCAAGTTCATGAATTTCTGTTCGCAAAGACTTCTTGCTACGCTGATAGTCTCGGATGATAGTTTTATGAAATATCCCGAGTTTAGGAATTCG